GTGAAGGTGACGATGAATATTAATATAATTTATCCTGAAGGTGACTGTAATGGTCACAGAACTTTAAATCCTTAACATAGTGCATAACATTTTGTTGTTGAGTGGTATTGAGAGTTTGCGTGCATAGATTTTATATGCATAAGGCGCCAACGAGAGGTCATGAAGCTCTGTCCAATGAATTGCCTCAGCCAAATAGTTTAGTCGCTAGCAAAATCCAAACAGAGGAAAATGAAACCGAACCATAGTTGCTTTTAAAGAAAAATTAGGCCATTGTAATAAAGATGACTATCTACTGTAGGCTTCGAATTCAAGTGCTAATATTACACTTACAGTCATTTTCAGATTTTTAGCGTATTTTATTGGACCCCAAAAGGGGTGAAAGTTTGCAACTAAGAGGTCCTTTCAATCTTTTATTTATGATTTTCTAGGCAGATTAACTTCCAGCTTGGTCGTCTCCACTTGTCTTTGGTAAAAAAATTGTGCCATCATTAAATTATATCATAGATATATTTCGACGAACTGGAAATATATATGACTTTTGCAAAAAAGATGGCAGGTTTCTTGCTGTAGGCAAAGCTTTCCAACGCGGTGACAGAGGAATGTTACCATTAAAAAAAACGAATTTTGATATATAAGTATCAAAAGAGCAACTCGAATACAGGTCAATAACAAAAGTTAATGACCTGTATTTGAGTCTTAAATGAGTCCAAAACATTTGAGCGGCCCAACACCGAGTATGGCATTCGGTTACAATTTTTTTTCAAATACTTTTAACTGAACATTATGAATTTCTCCATTTTTCTCACAACATTACAATCAAATTACCAATTCATTATCATGGACCTCCATGTAAATTCAGTTCTGACTAAAGGAATACAATGTTCAAGATGAGTCCATAACACTCCAGTTTTCCAAGCGTGTGATATCCTTTTTCATCGCCACTGCCCCAGAGATCGGTATCTCCAAATATCATTTGAATCACAGGCAGCTTGGACTTGTCTGTTAGTAAACCGCTGTCCTCTCGCTAATTCCAATCGTTCTTATCGCAGTTGCAGCCGTAACTGCTGTCCGCACACGTGTTATTCAACCCGC